ACCCTCTAGCAATAAAATAATCATTGTGCTCGCTTCGGCAGCACATACACTAAAATTGGAACGATACAGAGAAGGTTAACATGGCCCCTGCGTAAGGATGACACGCAAATTCGTGAAACACTCCATATTTTTGTTTCTGTTGTTATAGAGTGACAAGCAAAATTATACAAAATTATAAGAAATATTTTGAAGGTTATCATTAAAATTCAGCATTCTGATATTTTGAGAGTTGCTTATTAGCTGTCAAAAACTGGGGTATGAGCAAAAATTTTCTGATATGTAATGTAAATGTGTGGAAAAATGTAAAAATAAATAAATAAATGGGAAAAAAGTAATAATAAAGCTACGCACAGATTTCTAAATTTTTCACACCCAAACAACCTTGTACTTTAATTCCATTTTTTCATGAACTTTTGCATTCTCCTTGTATACAACCTTATACACTGTAGCACTGTTTGCAATAGCAAACGATGTAAACAATGTACATATTCATTCGCAATTTAAAGAAGTTACACCCATACTGTGAAATACTATACAGCTAGTGGACAAGAGTAACAATGTTTGTTATATGTAACAAAAGCTTAAGTGGAAAAAAGTACAAACTTTCTTTATACAGAACACTCTCGAAGATCATTCACTGCTAATGTAACCAGCACAGTGCCCAATGCTATGTCTGCTCCTCCTACTGCTACAGTTTGGATGTCACCCAGAAATTCATGTCGTGGAAACTGATTGTATTGAAAAGATGTTAAGCAAAAACTTAATCCATTCTTGGCATCCCAGAAAGGAGCCTTTGGGTGTGACAAGTTTTTTTGTTTTGTTTTTTTGTTTTGATTGGTTTTTGCTATAGGGCACGTGCACTCGCCAGAGAGACAGAGAGAGACAGAGAGACAGAAAGCAAGAAATCACTCCCCGGGGGGGATGGCCATGCTGCAATCCCTTCTCCTCTATCCTCCTCTTGGGATTTTGGGCATGCATGCACAAGGGCCCAGAGTGAGTTTAAACCACCAGGTCCGGGACTTGAACCACAGTTGACTACATGGGAGTCCATAGCCATTACACTAACTGCTGGTCCCCGATGTGACAAGTTTTTTAGGAAAGAACTTCCATGACTGCATTTTGATGGATTTAGAAAAGAGAAAATGAGACCAGAACTGCTGAAACTTATGAACTGCTTGGGACCAGCAGTTGGCATAATGGTTATGTCACTGGACTCCCATGTA